GTGGTGAGTTCTCCAAAAGCACCTGAGGAGAGTGATTAGCCAGGCTTAGGTTGGTTTCTAATCTGGCTCCCTGTCTGTAAATTTTGTTAGGCGCTGAGACTGAACACTGTTAAAGGATTCTGAAGGAGTATGGTCTGCCTGACCTACATATTGTTTCATGATATTTTCTGTGAAAACAAGGAAATGTACTGCTGATTGATGAATTCTCTTTTTAAGAAGCAGAAGTTTTATTTGCATATCAATTTTTCAGCAACAAAGCAATTCAAACTGCTTTTTTAATGTTAAAAAATAGATCAAGTAACTCTAAATCCTCTACATTAACTTACATTGATTAAAATACATCTTTTACTATGGAATGCTGTTAAATATCTTGGTGATAAACTGATCAAGTATTCCACTAAAGTGACACAGTTAAATTAATGACTTTTTTTCTTCACTGTTTGAAAAGCTTTCTTATACTCTGTCGTGAACTCTTAAGAACATCTTAATACAGAAATGTAAAACAACACTATTATTTAACTTCCATTTACACATAAAATATATCCAGCTTAGTATGTCCCATGATGTGTTGTATTCACAGTGACATACCAGAAAGACAAATAAAGGTGGTTTTGGTGAATTTTTTAATAGCAAGGGATAGCAGTATGGAAAGAAAACCCTCAATAACAAGAATAATCAAAATTTAAAAGAATGAACAAGGAGGGGAGTTGTATTGCTATTAAATATAAAGGTCTATATTCAGCTATGTTTAATTAAAATATGTGCAGTTAAGTGTGAGACACACAGAACACACTCTGCTGATGAATATATGGATTCAGATATGTTCCTAATCTTTATTGAGTCGTATAATAGCTTACACGGTGATTCCTATGAAAACAAATTATTTGAGCAATACTATGACCGGTTGCATTGTGAACAGTTCGCAATATAGGTAATTCTTGTTATACTCTACCTTGCATAACATTTACATTCCAGTGTATTTGTGAAACAAAAATGTGAAATATCTCACTTCTGGCTTTAAGTATATGTAAAATATTCTTTGAAGCTTTCTTACTTTTTCAGGGTGTTTATTTTAGACAGGGCCATCTGATTCCTAAAATATCATAGCTCATCTTATGGCTGACTCTGTGGATGGTGTTGCTACTGGGTGCAGAAACTATTTCATCTGCAACTCATTTTAGGCATCATTTAGGCATCAGAGGGTGTATATATTTCTCTCCATCATTTCATCTAGCAGTGACAGTAGTTAGATCTGATACAACAGGGAAAAAGTTAGGTGGTGGTATGCTGTTATCTGGGAACTGCAGACTGCCGGTTCTGGACCTCGTGGAGAAGCATGAATCAGCGACTTTTGATCATTTTTACAATGAAACCAACTAAATAAATGCAATGTTAGGCTTTAGGAGTGTCTTTTTTTTTTTTTTTTGCAATCTTCACAGGAGTTAACTCCTGTTAACTTCACAGGAGTGCCCAGTCTGCACGTCATGGCGGACTGGGCCACTTTATGAAGTGTATGACATCATGTGCCAACGATCAATATGGCAACAATTTAAGGTGGCCTGCTATGAGGTTAGGATGAAATGGAAATAGCTGACACTGCCTTTCCAATATTCCTGTACAGGTTATATATCCAAAGTATTACACACAACCCATAATTTCTGAAACACTCTAGTCTTGTACAGGGCCACTAGGGCCTTTGTAGCCTCCAACATCATTGAAGACCATTGTTCCAATGAGGTTTGGAACACAAGATGACAGATGCTTGGGGATGTGTTGCCTCATGATGCCATGTTCCTCGTGATTATCTTCATTTAGCACTCAAATTAAAGGTAGCATATGTGCTGTTATTTTGGTTGGACAATGGTCTGAGAAAGAGAGCAGTTAGAAATGACAGAATACATTAAGGTTCGTTCCTCTGCTTGTCTGTGCTGCAAAGCCTCAGCTGGTCTCACCCCCTGGTGGGATCCAGGTTGCTGCCAGCGGCACAACAACAGAAGTAGGGTGCAGGTTTCAGAGTTTTATAGTTAGGTGATGAGCTTTCAGCTTCTATTGCTACATTTAAAGTAAGGAGAGAGGTGTGCCAGTTAAGGCTGAACTGAGACAGATGGCATGTTTTGCTTTGAAATGTTTGGATACTGATAGCAGTTACAAAATGATGTTGTTTTTGAAGGAAATTGTTCCATCTCTTTGATCGACATCTTACTGGAATAGTAAAGGATCGATTAGATGAAGAAAGTCAAGACTAACAACAAATGGCAGAGCAATTTAATAATAACTTATAAAGTTACATTATGTTTGATAATTTATGAAGTTTGATCATTAATACCCCTAGTGTCATATTTATGACAGATTGTGATTTCTTGGTTAATGTCAAGTTGTCATAAGAAAGACATTTGAAATCATGTCAACTTTTCATTAAAGTGACATTATTTACTGAATGACACTTAATGACAACGATCATAAACATTCATGATGACATCTTCATGTTCATGACAGGAGTTATGTCATGTTAATAACAGCTTCATGTCAGTCTTATACACACCCTGTAACAGAGAATGGCAGCAAGGAGTGAGGGAGAGCAAATAAGGGAATTAAGAAAAATAAATCCAAGAGTAACAATTAAAATTGTTAAGAAGAACTGAACTAAAGTAAAACAGAAACAAGGCTGAGCTAATAATGAAAGATATCTAAGGAAAGAGATCTAATAAAAAGTATCTGACAATAGCTTTAATTTCTACAATCAGTGTAATTGGGAGTATAACATCCATAATAAATACCAATTTTTTTGGTCTGAAATGTTGCTCAATATAGGAAGAAAATTGGTAAGTTGGCAACAGTGGGGTGACTATTGTTAATTGTAAATGTGCAGACATAACTTGGAGGGCCGGTTTGTCAGTCAAACCTCATTCACGGGAGAAAAGAAAAGCACCATGATTGATTTTTAGACCTTTGCTGAGGTTAATAACATTGGTGGATAAGATCGGCTTCAAATATAATAATCGGCCAATCACCGATCTCCCAAAATTAAGGAAATCGGCAACGATAAATCAGCTGGCCAATAAATCGGCGTATCCATTTTTGAAACCTAATATTCTATTCTATTCCACGTAGATATGGATGGGATGTGCAGCATTTGGGGTGAGGTGAGTGTTTAGTCAGACAGGATTAGATTATTCTCCACAGATGCTCCAGTTTTCCGGATTAATACTGATTTTGAGGTATTTTGAAATTAAACATTTCTCCTTCCCAGATTTTAAACATATGATTTATCTTCCTATTTTCTACAATTTTTTCCCCACCAATTCAGAGGATAGCTGGCATTACACTAATATGAGTATAGATTTGGATATAGAGTTGCAAATTGTCTTTTGATGTCATTTGTTGTGAGTTGGCACCAACAATCCATTTTCCGGTCACCCTTTTCCCCAACGGGGTCGGGAGGTGCTGGTGCCTATCTCCAGCTGCGTTCCCGGCGAGAGGCGGGGTACACCCTGGACAGGTTGCCAGTCTGTCGTAGGGCAACACAGAGACAAACAGGACAAACAACCATGCACACACTCTCACACCTAAGGAGAATTTGGAAAGACCAATTAACCTGACAGTCATGCTTTTGGACTGTGGGAGGAAGCCGGAGGACCCAGAGAGAACCCACGCATGCACAGGGAGAACATGCAAACTCCATGCAGAAAGACCCCGGGCCGGGAATCGAACCCAGGACCTTCTTGCTGCAAGGCAACAGTGCTACCAATTGCGCCACTGTGCAGCCCTGAGTTGGCACCATATACTGTAAATTAATTGAACTGAAGTGAATTCTGTTTATTTTCAATACCTGAATCCAAAGTGCTGATCTGCTTTGGTGGCCTCAGGATCAGTTTCCTGTTTTCTGCACATGGTATGTTTTTGTTGGCTTTTGCCTGGAGCAGTTTGTAGCAGAGTGTGACGTGATAAGAATCAGCACCCCCAAATCTGACACCATGATCTTGCTCTGGAAAAGGAACAAGATCATGGTGGGGAGTTTAAGTATCTCTTGATTTACTGGCCGGTCTCGGTTCATACCTTCATATTTATGGACAGGTATTGTTAAGAATCTCACAAATCAATTCAATTTTCATTATCTGGGTCACAATTCGATTCAATTTCAATTCAATGTTGCTTTAAATACTTTGACATAAAATTGATCTGATTTTGCATATTATTGAACAGACAGTATTATTGTAAATATATTTGATTTCATTTCCATCTGTAGTCCCATCAAACGAACAGCACCACATACAAAACCACGATATGATAAGATACAATTTTATAAATAAAGATAAGAAATACAATAAAAATAAATTAGCACTATATGGGTCATGAAAACCCATTTCAGTGGTGGTCAGAATGAATATGGTCTGACCCAGAGTTACGTGTAGAAATGAGAGTTTAATGATGATAATTATAACTTAATTCCTCCACTCATCAAGAAGGTGAGTGGCGAGGAGAGAAACTCAGGTAGATGACGAGGAAACAATCATGACAAGGATCCTATGGGAGCAAGAGACAAAGGAGAGTTTTGATACACGAGGGATAATCAGGAGACAGGACACAGCTGGGCCCAATCAGGGGTGGGCTGGACAACACAGGGACTAACTTAACTGAAAAATATACCCAAAATATTTACATATTTGCTAACTGTCACTATGTCGTGAAAGTATGTTTTGAGACAGATAACCTGTTTTATACTTCTTCCCTGAACTAGTACAGCAATCGGCAAAACTGCACCACTCACGGTCAAAAATAACCAATCAGAGCCAAAAGAAGGTCTTAGTGCTGTTAATCATTCTTGAACTCAGTGTACGAATGGCAAAGAAACAGGAAAACTGGCTGGCTGGTTGACTCTCTGGCTGACTTGATGGATGGATGGATCCAGTCAAGAATCTCCTGAGAAAAATCATTAAATGATGTGACTTCTAATTCAATCTAACATCAGTTTCTTTTCTATCTTGACTGTGTTTTCCTAGATAATTGGTGGTACTATGAGACGTGTTATAGGGAGAAGTCAGTCCCTTCCACCTTGTATCCGATCTATAATGATGGGGATTTAAACACGGTGAGTGAACATGGACTACATTTACTCATACACTGACATGAAACAACCTCGTCACTGATTTTCAGCAAGCATTAATATTCACTTTCGGCACACATTTTATGATGTTGTGCAAATGATATTTGCACAAATATCATTTGCAAATAAGCTTAATTACTTTTCATTCTTCATACTGAAGAATGAAAAGTAATTAAGCTTGTTTTCAGGTACTGTAAAAGTCTCCCCTAAATTGATGCATGTATTTATTGTGAAATAAATGGCAACAAACACATAAACTGTCTTTTGTGTAGTATGTACACCTCTCTGTGTCCCTAAGTTTTTATGGATTTACTGGTTTAGAGACTTTTTATGTGGAACATTACTCCAAAGCATCTGGAAGTTGAAATACATAGGTGCAATGCTACGTAACTATTGGCTGCATGCCTGAATATGTTGGAGACGAGTCTTTCCTAGACTCTTCCCTCTGTTCCCTCTGCCTACATCCCCCAAAATGCTGTGCAGTTTGGGATCGGAGTTCAGTAAAATTATTAAACTAACATAGGATGAATATAATTTCATAATTTCGATCAAATGTCTATTATGACAGAGTTCATTATAGTTTTTCACCCGGCTCTAATCTGCAGGGCATGAATGGAACCTGCATCTGACTGGATATCAAACTGTATCAGCAGATCTTTCCCTGTCTGCTACACAATGTAATAACTCACTGGGATTCTGTTGTTTGGGCACCACTAAGAGTTGGTTTGGCTGATCATATCAAATGTAATGTACAGTGCATGTTGTTCCAATCTTTAATATCTTGCTTTATTGACTGATTATTGAGGAAACACACTAGATGAGTACACCACTCCTCCATCTTCAGCCTATAGAACAATGTAGGATCTCTTTCATTCATCCATGCATAATTACATTATCAGTGGTGAAGCCACAGGGTAACATTCCAAGGGGAAACTTCAGACATCCCTCTCCATAACCACACTCCCCAGCTCATTATCAGAGATTATTTTAAAAAAGTAACTGATGATAATCTTAGCATTCATAAGCAACATTAGCTGGTATTGACATTGCTTTAGCAATCTTGTCTCCTGTGGGGTGTTTTACCAACCTGAGACTGCTGAACACATGACTCACAGTAAGATTGTGCCTATAAAAAGGAACAGTAATAACTGCCTGTGGTTGAACCGCAAACTAGAGAAATGACATTTACAGTGGGCATTTCTGGCCTTTCTCCTGATTAAAATAAAATTCTCCCTGTTAAGTGATTCTGTGCTGTCTCTCTGCCTGATGTCTCCTCCTCAATGATTGTACACAAATTATGTTTTGTGTTAAGAAAGGCTTGTGAGGTATCAGAGCATTTAGAACATTTAAAGAAAATAAAAATATAGGCAATAGAAGGGGAAAATAGACCTACATTACCTGTATTGGAACAATATGAATCATGAATTTATTTCCTCTAATAGGCAGAATTTCGATGCAACAAGAAAGCATTGAAATTCCACCTATTAAAGTTGACATCTTGAAGTTGAGTTGAGAAAAGTATTTATCATAGATTGGCTCTACCAGCAGAAATTGACAACAGATCAATTACACCACTGCAACATAGATGTCTGAAGTTTTCACTTATGGCATTATCAACATCTAAATTAATTTTGTAGTATATTTTTTCTCAATTTTACACAAATTGATACATGCACATCCATTCAGTTACAGTAAGCAGCTTTACACCTCGATTCTTTCTCACTCTTATACACAGAAGTGCATGAAATAGTGTTTTATTGTCTAAGACATTCAGTCTAAAATAATCAGGCTACACAATTTGTGGGGACCATGACAAGAGGAGATGAGTGCTGAAAATATGATTCATCCTTCTTTCACAGTCAGCTGGTTGTTTCCGTCCCCACCTCCTTCACACATCCCACTACTGAGCTGTTCCTTTCTGTCTGTCTATTGTAGGCTTTACAGGCATGCACAAACCCTAGCTCTTTTTTTTCAAGATAAGGAGAACTGCAGAGCTGATCTCCCCTCAGATATGAAGACAGGGAGGTTAAGCCTACGCTCTGCTCCTCTCGTCTCAGTTTTTCCTCCTCATCTCTTCTCTTACTGGCTCCAAGGGCTGTGTTGAATCATAATAGCCAGTGGGCGAACAGTCAGGAGCAAAAAAATCCTTTCCACATAGTTTGTGACGTACATCTTTGACGGAATTGGGGTTTTATTGGATGGAGAGATGAGAGAAGGAGAGAGGGACTGTGACATCCATCAGTATTTTCTCAGCTCTCCATTTTACTCTGAGATTCTGTTTTGTCTTTTTGCCCGGATGAAATGATCTCCACTGTCTTCAGAGCATGAGTTACATAACTCATGCTCATAATCAGAGCCGTTCATAGTGGATGGTTTAATCTTGACACTAAATTTAATAATTCAATAAATGTACAAAGTTAAATACTGACAGGCTGAAGTCAAATGATAAATTGACTTCAGCCTGTCAATTTATTGTTGACCAAAAGTCAATGTATATAATAACAAGCCAAAGGTGCACACACAAGAAATAAGTCAGGAATGGAAGAGGTATCCAAATCACAAGGCAGAGGTAAAGTAAAACCAAAAACGGTGTCAAAATGACACTGAAGGCAAAAATACCACGGCAACGGTCTGAAACGCTTTCAGACAGAAACTATGGCTCTGGTCACAATGCAAACTAAATTTGACATTTTCACTGCACTCTCAACTACTCAATTCTAATCTTTTCACCAAAAAAAAAAAAAAGTGATGGGAAGTGCACCTCTTTTCTGTTTGTGTTCTATGTTCTCTATATGAGAAGTTGTTATATCGCAAAAGCAGGAATTCATACTTTTGTGTAATATTTTGATCAAACTTTAAAGTTTTTAGTCAACACAAAAACAAATTAACAAAACACTGCAAGAAAATTTACCAAACAGACCCTTCGTAATAATAAATTACTGCCTTATTCAGTAAATTGTATAATATCTTTAAACACTGCAGTAAGAAGATTCTTTTGCTTACAAGTGTTAGTTATATTTATGTATATAATGTGCTCGCTGTGCGTTGTGTTTGTGGGGTTTGTGAAGACACAGCATTCTGCTGTGTCTTCACATGTAGATGAAGAAAATGAGGAAAATGGGGTTGGTTTGTCCTCCAGAGTAGCCTAAGCCTACAGCATCATAACAACAGAATAGCTCAGGACAACCTAAGCCAGTCTAACTATCAGCCTAATGATAAAGGAAGGTTTTAAGCCTGGTCCTAAAAGTAGACAGGCTGTCTACCTCACTTATTAAAACTGGGAGTTGGTTCCACAGTAGAGGAGCCTGAGAACTAAAGGATCTGTCCCCCATTCTGCATTTAGAACCTCCAAGAACCAGATTCTAAAAGTTTGAGAGCAAAGCACTTCGTTGGGAACATCAAGTCTCTGATGCATGATGGAGTTGGATAATTCAGGGCTTTGTTTGTGAGAAAGAGATTCTTAAGTTCTATTCTGCATTTAACAGGGATCCAACGAAAGAAAGCTGAAATAGGAGAAATATGAGCTCTCTTTTTATTTTTCATCAGTATTTTGTGAACTTCCTAATAATAATGAATTACAGTAGACTATCCTACTGTATGGAATATGGAATTCCTACTGTATGGAATAGTTTGTACTATTTCTAATGTCAACAATATTCCAGAGATGAAAAAATAAAATCCTGAAACCTTGTTTAATATGGGACTTAGATGACATATCCTGATCAAAAATAACAGATTACTTTATCATTGGAGGCCAATTTAAGTCAAGTGATTGACGAAGCAGTTTCTGTTTCTAAGGTTCAGATCCAAAAACAACAACTCAGAATTTAAAATAGTTGAGTATCATCAGCATAACTGGAAATTTATCATGTGCTGCCTATTGATTTTTCCAAATGGAAATATAGTAAAACAAATTGGATTAAGTACTGAGCCCTGTCGTACCAGTATCTGACCTTTCTGAAATATGCAATTTAAGGTTTTCTACTCAATCAAGTTTTCAGGCAATCTCACTTCCACACTTTTTTAGATCTACACACGTCATAGATTTGTACTGGCCACTCCTAAACACTGACTGTTGTCCTTAAGCCACTTTGACTGGAGGTTTAGGGTTACATCAATCTGTATCTGCACTATTATTTCCTGGCTGATGGCTTTAGACGTTGCTTCAATATTTCCAGATAATGTTCTTTCCTTATGACCTTCAACTTTATTTTATGAAGTGCACTTGTACATCCTGCAACAAAACAAACCCACAGCATTACGCTGCCACTTCCATTCCTCACAGTTAGGATGGCACAAGCTTCCCAATTTTTCCTCCAAATGTAACAATAGTCATCATGCCCAAAACATTCTCCTTTAGTTTCATCAGATCAGAGCTCATGTCTCCAAAATGAAGATCTGTATCATTGCATTTGCAAACTACATTCTGTCTTTTTATGTTTCAAGTGAAGCATTGAAAATGCTTCACTTGTTTTGTTATTCACAAACAGGACAGTTTTAAATGATGACGCAATGTCTTACCAGCTTCAGCAGCATCTGGGGTCAATCTGCACATTTTGGACCAAAACACATTCATATTTGGGACACAAAACCCATCTCCTTCCAGAGTAATTTGACAGCTGGGCATTCTCATGTCTCTATAGTTGTTTCAACAAATGAATGCAGCATCTTGAAGCATCAGTAAATTGTTCCCAAGGATGAACCAGACCCATTCTGCTGCACAGTTCTCTTCCTTATGTCTTGACTGATTTCTTTTGATTTCACCATCATGTCAGACCAGAAAACAGTGTGGCCTTAAAATTCAAGCTGTTGCAAAGAATTATTTTAGTAATCGAGTATTCTATTGATTATTCTTACAATTAATTGAGTAATTGAACAAAAAAATAAAGTAAAATATTGGTCAATTATACCATAACTGATAGAATTTGCCAGTTATGGTAAAATTTATAACTGAAGTATAAATATTGAACATCATCATTGGCCCA